TTTCCATCTCTCTCTCCTCTCGCTTTCCATATCTCTCTCTCGCTCGCTCGCTCGCTCGCTCGCTTTCCATATCTCTCTCTCTCTCACTATATCTCTCTCTCGATCTCGAACCTGATGGACCCATGTCTTTATACAACCTCAACTACTTTGTAACTATATGACATATTCACACATTCAGCGATTTCAGCATTTTGCTGCTGCAGTCCGCCGATCCACCACCGCGTCCCACGCTGCCATCTTTTTTTACTTACAATATTAGGAGGCCTAGAAATGGTCACAGACAGATATTACACAGACAGTTAAAAGCTTGTCACTCCGTTTCTACGTTTTTTCTCTCAGATTTCTCTTATCGAGTGGCAGCATGTCTGCCCATCGATGACAGCCTGCGTATCCAGCTGCTACAGATCGGAAACGCCATCCAACGCCTACGCTGTGAGTTAGACATCATGAGCAAAGTGAGTCCCTTTTTATCCTTCTATGCCCAGCCCACCTAACCCCCGTAGAAGTTGCTGCATATGATAACTGTCTTTTGTTGCAGTGCACATCACTCTGCTGTAAGCGCTGCCACGACACTGAGATCACCACAAAGAATGAGATCTTCAGGTGAGGCTGATAGCTGCTGCGTGAGCGGTCATCATATTGAGGCCCCCATTTACTTAATGGATAGGATGTAGACTTTCCAGACTATACTTTCTTGTTAAGGTGATATTAGGCTATTCTACATTATTTATAATACACATAAAAAATAAAGAAGTATTATACTTTTCAAATCATTGTGGAATCTCCCAGGTAACCAAGTGGAGCTCTGATGAAGTTCTGATCCATTCTGTGATTGCTGAGCTTGTGTAATCAACATGCCAGCCCTACTCCCACTGCTGGTCGACGCTGCTGCTGAGCAGGAAATTTATTTTATTTCAGGTGTGAGTGACAGCGCTCATTTCTGGCTGCATGTATACACTAAAGTCAAGCGCAGTCATTCACCTTGGAAGGGGGCCGTTCAGCGGGATGTTCCTGGGTAGGGATGCATAGATACTTTTCGAGTACCAGTGCAGATACTTGGCATTTTCATGAGAACTCCCAGGGTTGCAGATGTTGTAGCTGGGACCGGGCTCTGGCGCTCCACCACTGTCCTGAAATCATCAGTCTGTATTGTTTTAGAAAAACTGTCACATGACAATAAACAAAAATGTATCAGTACTTGTAAGTACTTGGCAAGTATCAGTACTCGTACTCGCAAAACTGGTATCTGTGCATCCCTTTATTTATATTTATAAAAACAAAATCATACATTAAAACAGAGATGTACAAATCCCGGGAGCTCCGTGTGCTCCTTACACATGACAGCCGCCTCCTAATTTTTGTCTAGTGTAGTCTCGGAGCTCAAAAGTATCGGTACTTGTATTCGTACTTGTACCGAGTACTGTACTTTGTATCTGTGCAACCCTACTCCTGGGTATGAGTTCATAGGGGAACACATAAACAAGATTGCTTGCAGAAGTGGGCAGCGTTAAATGAGCAATGAGCGTTGCTGTACAGAATGCTGTACTGCGCTGTCTCAGCTGATCCTGGCTATACTTGCCTGCCCCTTTTTAGTTGACCCCCCAAGACAAGCACACTCGCAGCAGAGTTATTTCTCCCACACAGTGGAGAGGGGGTTGTGGCTACAGTGCTGTAGCTCCACCATAGGAACGCCCATAAATTGGGCTTTAGCCTGGGGTATGAGACAGTGGGAGCCTAGTGAGACAAGGAGCCTGTTCATATGAGACAGTGAAAAGCCTCTAGTCTACTACTTTGATGCTGGCAGTGGAAGAGAACATTTTAATCTTGTTTTTAGGTAACCTTTAGTTGTACTTTAGGCACCAGCTGATACTATATCCTTTGTGTGCGTGTTGTACAATGCTTGTTTTTGTTCATCCTTTCCTCTTTTTTTGCAGTCTGTCCCTTTGTGGCCCCATGGCGGCCTATGTGAATCCTCATGGCTACGTTCATGAGACGCTGACGGTCTACAAAGCCCTGAACCTGACCTTGATGGGCCGAGCATCTACAGAAAACAGTTGGTTTCCAGGGTAAGTCGTCCTCTGCTCAGCGGTTATGACACAGCATGGAGTAGACTGTCACTGGGGACACAATGTTACCTCTCTGGTGTGTGTCCTGCCTGTAGGACATTAAGCAAGCTTGCTTCTCCCTCACCTCTTTTGATGAGAGTAATGCTGAGGAATTTGTGATGACAGAGCGCAGATGAGAAACTCAGGAACCTTTAGCTAAACACAGGGGCAGGGGAGCGATACTTGGACAACATAAGCATTCTGAGATAGAAAACGCAGCAGACTGGAACAGCTGCTACACTCAGCGTCTAGCGACCAAGAACTATGCTGACGCAAATCATACCGTGAAAGATGGTTTTAACTTATGGATAAAAAAGCCACAACAGATTTGAATTGATCAAGTTTGTTGGCAATAAGCCATATACCCTTAGCCCAGGGGTGCCCACAATTGTTTGTGTTAAGATCTACTTTTCAAAGGACAAGCTACATGAGATCTACCAACCAAAAAAAAAACCTCCCTTGTGCTGTCTCTCTCCTGGCTCTCTCTCTCTCCTGGCTCTCTCTCTCTCCTGGCTCTCTCTCTCTCCTGGCTCTCTCTCTCTCCCGGCTCTCTCTCTCTCCCTCCTCTCTCTCTC